CTGCAGCTCAGATGACACTGGAACCAGAGGGCTCTGACGAGGATTCTGAGCTCCCCTTTCAGTGGGCAGAGAGAGAGTTTGAGGCTGCAGAATGAGACTGTTTCACAGCCCTGGAGTAGTAATAGGGTCAGGGTGAGACACCCACCTTTCAGGAAAGGTGGGCCCAGGATCTAAGGGTCCATGGCTCCAGGGTGGTCATCAAGATAAGAACTCATTACTGAAAAGAGGGTGTCAAAGCTGGGTTAGCAACAGTAAAAAGGCAGCTGTAACAAAGATTTCACATCTTCTGCCCAGGTACAAGGTCTTCTAATAAATAGTTCATCTTAATATCATAGATGATGGAAATGTCCTTGCCTCCTGGTGCATTTTCCAGGTGTTTCCAAGATGCTTGTGTCCCCACCATCTCTTATCCACACAACAGCTGGATGATCTTTTAAGAATATAAATTGGATCCCTTCATTCCTCTGTGTAGAACTCTCCTAGGGCTTTCCATTCCTATCAGGATAAAATGCAAGTTCTAGGAGTCCTGGCATCCCTGGCCCTAACCACCCATTCCCCCATACAGTCTCATCACTGTCCTCTGTGCTCAGGAAGCCCCAGTCACTCTGGTCTCCTTTTTACTGCATTTTTAAGACACGCCTAAGTGATTTCCACCTCAGGGCCTTTGCACTTGCTGTTTTTAATTCATATGTCATCACTACTTTACCTTCAGAGACTTTGGCTGGCTTATAGGCAAGAATTAAACAGCAAAGAAACTCCAAAATGATGTAGAATCTTTGATTTTGTGGGGTTGACACAGATTTATTTTCCCCTTCATTCTTACCCAGTTGAAGCCTAGAACAGTCTGACACCTTCATATTAGAAAGAGAGGACTGAAGACTGGAGACAGAATGGGACTTAAAGCCACTCACATTTTGGGGAGCGGAATTGTCCAAGGATGCACCCAGAGGTTGTGACTTGGACTTGTGCAGAAGGAAATTTAATCTTAACTACTTGGACCTGCTGTATTTAACAATAACATAGTTATAATAATGAAACTTCCCTCTTTCTCCTCCCTTTCTTTTTCTCTGCTTTTAACTTTGCTGAGTCTAAGGTTGTATATAAGAGGCCACAGACAATCCTGAATTTCTCTTCCATTTGCATTATCCTATTTTTCTTTGTAATAAAATACTCTTTTTTCAGGCCAGAAGAGGGTAATTTGTAATTTATGAATTTCTCTCTTGAAATTACAACTAGAACCTAATTTAAAAAATCAAATTGGTTTCATCTAATTAAATTTGTAAATTACCTCATAAACACATGCTTTGTTATAAATGTTTTTAAAAGCAAGGTCTCTTGCTTACTGTCTGGGACTGGATTGGGTTGAGCCCAGAGTAACAGGTACTTCTCATCTCTCTACTCAAGAGAACATACTCTTCTATCAATTGCCAAAAGTTTCTCAAGAGTAGTATTTTCCAGAACAGTGCTTCTGAAACCGTAATGCCCATAGGAATCACCCAAGGATCTTGATAAACTGGAGAGGACTGAGCTGCTACATTTCTAAATAGCTCCCAGGTAATGCTAATGCCACTGGTCTATGGACCACGCTAAGTTGCAGCAAGGGGCAAAACATCTGTACTTGCATTTAGGAGTCCTGGGTTTGGCATCTGGGTAATATGACCTTGGTCTTTTCATTTTAACCATCTGCACTCAATTTCCTCATTTTTATGTAATGATAACAGCTAACATTTATAATGTTATTTCTAAATGCCAAACACTGTGCAAAACCTATATTTAATTGGATCTTCAGAGTAATGCTATAAGGCCATTTTATTATTACCTTGATTTTTCTGATAAAAGACTTAAGGTTCTGAGAGGCCACTTGATGTACTCAAGGTCACAGAGCAAGTAAATGTCAGAGCAGGGATTCAGATCTAGGCTATATGGGCTCAAATGTCACCATCCTTTTCTTAGGCCTCACTAGCTTTTGATACACATGACCACACTCATTTTTATGCTCACAATACAAAGGCCTAAATCTATAACCTCCTTAGCTGTCCTTACAGCATCCCTCAATAATTTTGGCATATTCCCCAAAAGTAGCCTCAAATGCTTACCAACAAGTCAATCAGTTACAATACTCTGGTTGTGGTTCTCTGCAATTACAGCCCAAGTCACAGCCAAGAGGCTACTTGAAGATATCTTTCATCATAGTTGTCTCCCATGGAATCCACGGGAATGCCAACATCCCTGGCATCTGATCTCTGAAAATCCACAAGGCACCGGATTCACACGGAAGTGAGAAGGACATGCTGCTCTAATCTGTACCCACCTTTGTGTGCGGGGCTTCAGAGACTGCACTATATAATAATGCCTCAATTACAGGAGGTTCTACTCAAACACAGAGTCTAACTCACAGTTGTGTTTGAACCCTTGCTCTCCCTCTGTTTCTTTCTTCTTATCATGGAATTTTAATCATGATATTTCTAATCCAGTCTAATGCATCATCCTATTAGAGGAAAATGTATATTGCTCTCAAGGATCCAGTCTAATGCATCACCCTACTAGAGGAGAAAGTATATTACTCTCAAGGAATAATCTGTGTAGAGATATGACTCCACCTGCAGCATCACCCTACACTAGTGGTTTCCAAATGCAGGTATGTACAAGGACCAGGGCTTTTCCATGACAAACTTGCCATCAATCCAATGCAAAATTAGAAAAATTAATGTGACTGTCATGAGTTGGTAAAACATCATAAATTTATTCAATTTGAAGGATGGACTTTTATTCTGAAATTATATCCTTTTATATTTTTGGAATTATGTCTTTTATAAAACGATGTAAATAAGAGATGTTAAAGTACCCTAGGTTACCCCCTCAAACCTTTTTAAATGCTACTGGCCTGTGAATTCCAAAAGTCTTCAACATCTGGCACAGAGCATCTTTTACATAACAGTACCAAGTAACTTAACTTCCTAAATCAAGGGTCCTTTCCTTCTGCTTTACAAAGAAAAGTTTGCCAGGCACAACAGATCTTCATTTCATTTAAATATGTGTGTGTGTGTGTGTGTGTGTGTGTGTCTGTGTATGTGTCTGTGTATGTGTGTGTGTGTGACTGTGGTCTCTGCTTTACAAAGAATAGCATGTAGATTTGAAGTGATTGGATTTTGTTTCAGTTAATTTTCCAGTCCCTGTCTTTCCCAAAGGGGTTTTGAAAACGTACTAGGTAAGGTGTATAGGTATGAGTACCTGCCCTCCTCTTAGGGTACTCCCCAGGAAGAAAGCTTCTCCCAAGTGTGTGGCCTGAGAAAGCTCATCAGTGGTGGGGATGGATGTTTGTTTCCGCCTTCCATGTGGTAATCCTGAGAGCTGCACCAAGCTCCCTGCAATTTCTAAGAGGAAGATGTTAGCTCTCCTGAGGAATGCTACTTTTAGTGAGATAAGGTGTTTTCTTAAGCACCTTGTACATGTTGGATAATCTCCCTCAGAGAGTTCTCAGGACCATCCACGACTCTCTAGAGAAGTTATGGGTCTGTTAGATTAATCTTGAGTACTTTTCCTTCATCAAATACTCCTTGACTTTTCTCCCCAGAGCTCACCTTTCCTTATGGCAGCAATATTCTTCCCCCAAGCCCACTCCCTATACATGCATGCTTCTGCATGAGCACTCAATGGCTTAAGTCTCTTCATTGTCCTGTGGTACATGTTTTGGTCTGGGATGCTTGTGTGTTTCCCCCTCGTCAGACTCCCTAGGGAAACCCTGAAGAAGTAATTACCACCTTTATTTTACAGATGAGAAAAATGAGGCTTAAAGAGAGGAGGACGCTACCAAAGGTAACTCAGGAGAAGGTGGAGCTACTAGGACACTAGGCTACATCATTCCAGCTTTGATATCCATGCCCTTCCCTCTGCATTGCTATGGGTTTCCATTTGATCTAGTATCGCAATCTTATGATGTGTAAGAACACAAGGGATGGAAGAAGACTCAATCTTACTCACATCCCAGTACTTGAATCTTAGCTATATCACCTTTGTTGGAGATTTTTTTTGTTTTGTTTTGCAATAAACATTCATACAGTTTGTCTTATTTATGCAACTTTTCTGGAAGGCAGATTGTGTTGGCTTGATGGGTACATTCCTGCCTGAGTAGGTTCTGGTTCATCTCTGATACGGTAAGGCCCTGCTGATGCTTGGAAGGGGGGCTTTGGACGCCATCACCTGGATGACAAAATATGCCTTGGACGCAGAGCATTTTAAATCTCAAGCATCCTGTGTTCCTGCTGCAGAGAATAACATTGGGATTCTTTTCAAAGCAAAGGGACCGATATTCGTAGAGTGAGCATCATGTGGGTATTGCAGTTTCCCAGATGAACTTTCACTACTGTTTGGCAGGCCTGGGCCTTCTCTTCTACATAAGAACAATCTGACTCCCTGGGTTTTGGCTCCTTTGTGGATGAGGTCAGTCATCACCACTGTCATTTCAATGCATGGTATGTACAAATTTCTTTGTCCTCGGGGCTACCAAGACAGTTCCACTGTGTGCCATTATGTTTGCACCCCATTGTACTGTCTTCTTTAATTTATTTATTTTTTTGAGATGGAGTTTCACTCTTTTTGCCCAGGCTGGAGTGCAATGGCACGATCTCAGCTCACCGCAACCTCCGCCTCCGGGGTTCAAGCGATTCTCCTGCCTCAGCCTCCCGAGTAGCTGGGATTACAGGCATGCACCACCATGCCTGGCTAATTTTGTATTTTTAGTAGAGACGGGGTTTCTCCATATTGGTCAGGCTGGTCTTGAACTCCCAACCTCAGGTGATCCACCTGCCTCGGCTTCCCAAAGTGCTGGGATTACAGGAGTGAGCCACTGCGCCCAGCCCCCACTGTACTGTCAGAAACCTTTTTACAAGTCACATCTTACTCACCTTTATACCTTCAGTGGAATGGGTATTCACCAATGTCAGGCTGAAGTGACTTGAATAAAGCTAAGCCAATGGATGCAGCACAAGGGACCTCCTTACCTCATAGAGCGTGATGACCCCATTGGTCTCATTGGGAGGTTTCCACTGGATGTAGATCTTCTCCTCAAAGGGCCCCCCTTGGATGGATTCTAGAGGAACAGCTCCTGGAACTACAGAATGGAAAAGTTATGAACTTAACGTCACCTTCCACATCATTTCTCTAGCCCCACTAACCTAGAACAGGGGTTGACAAAGTTTCTATAAAGAACCAGACAGTAAATATTTTAGGTCTGATGAGCTGTACATTCTCTATTGTAACTACTCAACTCTGTCATTTTAGCACAAAAATGGCTATAGATAATCCATAAATGAATGGGTACAGTGGTGTTCCAATAAAACTTTATTTATGAAAACAGGCAATGGGCTGGATTTGACCCATAGGCCATAGTTTGCTGACCCATTTTCAGAAGGCTGATCAGGCTTTTCATCAGCAGACCGAGCAAGTCGGTCTATGAACTGAACCTGATAAGGGTAGAAAGGACATGAGCAGTTTCCAGTTCTGCCAGAGGTGGGAATCTGAAAGGAGGTCTTTGCTTCAGGGGTGTCTAATCTTTTGGCTTCCCTGGGCCACACTGGAAGAAGAAGAATTGTTGTGCGCCACACATAAAATACACTAACACTAACAATAGCTCATGAGCTAAAAAAAAAAAAAAAAAGAAATTACAAAAAAAATCTCAGAACGTTGTAAGAAAAGTTTATGGATTTGTATTGGGCCACATTCAAAGCCATTCTGGGCTGCACGCAGCCCAGGGCCCGCTGGTTGGACAAGCTTGCTTTAGGATTTGTATTTGAGAAATGCAAAGTGAGCTTCCCGTCATCTTACCAAGCATCATTTTCTTTACTCTGCCAAGTTTTCTCTAACTTTAGGAAGTGCTTCGTCAGTTTCCTGACTAATTCCTGAATCCAACATGAACTATGTGGCTTGAAACCCCAATCCAATTAGAAGAAGCACGCCTTGCTCCAAGAAGGCAGCTAGCTTGACTTGCTGTTGAGTCCCAATGCCTGGCATGAAGTAGATGCATAATAACTATTTGTTGGTTGAATGAATAGGTGAATGAATGACCTATGCCAGCATTTTGCCCTAATGAGTGCAACCGTTCCTGGGGCTCCTTCTGTAAGCCAGTCAGCCTTCCTGCCAGCATCCTCCTGCTGGATTTCACTATTCTTACAACAGTCTGGAAGATGGTGAGCCAGAAAACAAATTATTCCCCAAACTTTCTGCCATAACCCCTTAGAAATAATGAATTTCAGTAAATTGTTACCAGATCTATTTATATTTTGGCATTATAAAAGCAGGTACTTTCACTAAGCACTTACACTTGGACTAGAATTTTACCTACATTATTTCACTTAAGCGACAGAACAGCTCTGCCCAGTAAGTATTATCTCCTTTGCGTCAATAAGAGAACTGAGGCAGAGAAAATGGAATAACTTGCTGAAGGTCATATGGCTCTTAAGTTGTAAAGAGGGAGCTAAACACCTGTCTGTGAGTTTTAAAGCATATACTCTTAATCATCATGCTACGCCTCTCTACATATAGCCTTGGCCATATGTTGCAATCAGTTCTCCTTTGTTAAATTAAAATATGTTCAGTTTTGCTCATTATGGACATGATACACAGAATTTGTTGAATATTAAGAATATATAAAAAGTTTAGAAAAAGAAAAAAACAAAATTACTCATAATTCAAATGTTCAAAGATATTTTCCAATCTTTTTACGCATATAAAATTTTATTTAAAAAAAGATATGCCTATTCATATATATATATATATTATTTTTTAAAAACGTTAACTCCTACTGTGCATATTGCATTGTGACCTTATTTTATCACTACAGAAATTGCAGACTTTAAAAAAAAGGGTGTTCTCTAGGGTCACACATTTTAATGGCTGCTTAGAGAGGGCGTTGCCCCTTTATAGTCACTGATCCTTTATTATTGGGCATTAAAGTTGGTTTGAATTTTTCATGACTTTGAGCAATGCTGGAATGAGCATGCTTATAGGTAAGTCTGTATGCAACTCTGCAGATAGCCGTTAAGATTAACGCTTCGGAAATCAACTTACTGGGCCAAAGTAAATGAACTATTTTATTTTTAAGGCTTTTGACATATATTACCAGATGCCTTTCAGAAAGTTTGTACCATTCTGGACTCCCCAGCAGAAGACTATGTCTGTTCTTGCCAACACTGACTATTTAAAAAATTAAGTGCATGTGTATGTGTATCTTTTTTAGAATACTGGAGAGTACAGATTTTGTTTTTAGTTTAATGAGCCATTTACATTGCTTCTTTTATGAACAAATTATCTATACCTTGTGCTCATTTTCCTGTATGGCTCTTCATTTCTGCTCATCTTTGTCTTACGGGCTTGTGATTGTAATTTCATTTTAAGGACATAAGCTTTCTTGCATAGGTTGCAAATATATTTTTGCCAGTTTTTTGTTGGCTTTTAAAATCGTTTATGTATGCAGAAGCTTTTAATTAGTCAGGTATCCTATTATTTTCCCTTATCCACCCTTCCTTTCCAGAAATATTTATTATGTATTTAATATGATCAAGGTACAGTGATGGACAGCAGAGATGCACCAATAACAACAAAATAGAGGTGAGCTCTATCCATGATAAAGCTCGTATTCTGGAAAGAGAGACAGACATTAAATGATTATACTCAAAATTAATTCATTACATTTTTTTAAAATCAGGACTCTGACATAAAGGGATATGGTACTAGGAGAATTATTAAAAGCAGGGAAAAACCTAGAATGGCAAGTTAGGATATTAAATGGCACACAGATTAGAGTTGCTGGATAAACAGAGTCACCAGGGCAAAATGGGGAGGAGGTGTTGTATTGTGGTGGATAGCTTTGTGAGGTTAAGGGTGGAAGGAGAAAAATCAGTTAGGAGGCTGTCTTTGTCATCCCGGGGAGAAAGAATTGTAACTTGGACTGGAATGACAGTAGTGTAGAAGAGAAATAGATTGTATAGGAGATTTGGACTCAGAGGATGGCAATGTGGAAGATCAATGGACTGTGCAGAAGATTTGGGGATGCTAAACTAACATGACTTGATGGTGATAGATAAGAGTGAAGGATGGAAGGGATGTGTCATGGAGAACTGTAACCCTTTTGTTTTATACAACTGGGGGATCAGAATGCTGTTTATAGAGAGGGAGCCTTAAAGGATGACCAATTTTGGAGAGGAAGCTGGTGAGCTCAGTTTTTGTCATACTTTATTTCAGGTATACATAGAACATCCAAGTGGCAATGTTGAGTAGCAGTTGGATATGGGAAGACTGGGGCCAATGTTTGGAAATGGAAACCGTGGGCAGGGAATAGATGGCAAGAGTATAGAGCAGAGAGAAAAAAAAATAGGTCTAAGACTAAGTGAAAAAGAACTCCAGGATTAAAAATTAGGAGGAAAACGAATGGAGAAACTGGGAGTCAGTGTTCAGAGAGGCAACCAGAAAACCAGGAAGGTGAGCTGTCATTGTAGCATCCCAGGAAGGAAAGAGGCTCAAGAAGGTATCGGTCAGCAGTCACAAATATGGCTGAGTAGTCAAGTAAGATGTGGTTTTAAACTTGCCCATTGAACCTACTGTCCTCAAGGTGACTCATGAGCCAAGCAAGAGTAATTTAAGGGAAAATGTTGGCATCACAGGTCATCCTGAAGAGGGTTGAGAGGAGAGGGGAAGGTGAGGTGAGGCAAGTAAACAATACTGGCTGTGAAAAGGAGGGGAATTCAAAACATAACAGGAATGACATATGGAGCCAAAATCATGACTCTCTTAAAGATAAGAGAGGTTATGATTAAAGCAACCAAGAGAAAATATTCAAAATAGAGGCCAGCCACGGTGGCTCATGCCTGTCATCCCACAACTTTGAGAGGCCAGTGTGGGCAGATCACGAGGTCAAGAGATTGAGACCATCCTGGCCAACATGGTGAAACCCCGTCTCTACTAAAAATACAAAAATTAGCTGGGTATGGTGGCACGTGCCTATAGTCCCAGCTACTCTGGAGGCTGAGGCAGGAGAATTCCTTGAACCCGGGAGGCAGAGGTTGCACTAAGCTAAGATCATGCCACTGCACTCCAGCCTGGTGACAGAATGAGAGTCCATCTCAAAAAAAAAAAAATTCAAAATAGAAGAAAGAAGGAGAAGAGTGAGAAAGAGAGAGGAGATAACTGACAGTGGTAGGGTCCTGAAAGCAAGAGCAGGGGTGGGTTGAAAGGAGGGCTCTCTCGTTTTGTGAGAGAAGAGGAGAGGACGGAAATGTGCTAATGCTTTGTAGGGAGGAACTGAAGTGTCCGAATGGCTCTGTTTTCTTGAGAAGTGGGGTGAAGCCATCTACCAAAAGTGTAGTGGGGGACAAATTGCATCAAGAATTTGGAAAGAGAGGAGAAGCTTTAATCATGGAGAGTGGAAAGTAAGCAGAATAGAGAGATGAAAATTCTATTCATTTACCCGAGGGTCTATCTGGTGGAAACTGAGGAGGGTCTGTTTGATGGACGATAAGAAGGGTCTATCTGATGAAGACTGTGAGCATAAAACTCAAGCTAATAGATCTTGGTCTTTCCAAATTGGAGAAAATTCTCTTTTTCACACCAGATCAGATGAATGGAAAGGACAGATGAATAGTTGTTTTATAATTTATTTATTTTCTGGCTTATTCCCATCTTTTTCTTTTTATACCTGACACTTTAATATTTCTGAAATTACTGTGTATATTATACATGGTAGAAATCTAACTAGAATTCCTTACAATTTTATCAATTGTAAAGGACAATTAATTGACCAGTCAAAACTTTCCCCAGTGATTTAAAATGCCATCTTACCACCATATTAAATTACTTTATATTCTAGCATATGTTGTTTGGTTTTCTGTTCTATTTCACTGAGTTGTAGCTTTTACTGTGACAGTATTTCTCTGTTGCATTAAGGTGACATGTTTTGATACTTGGTAGAACAAGTCTTTTTATTATTCTTCTTTTGCAAAGTTTTCTGAGGTATCCCTACCCATGTATTCTTCCAGAAGAATTGAGGAATAATTTTATAAAATTTTAATTATATTTCATCAAAAATTTTACTGCAGTTGCACTTTTTTTTCTCTTTTT